TTCATACAAGTACTGGGTACAGTCAGAAGTGTGGGAGGGTGAGAGAATTCACCAGAGCCAGAGCGGGAAGCAGAGCAGGCAGATTGACAAAATACACTGCTGAGGGGAGCAGCAGGAGGCAGAAGAGGTCTGCGCGCCATGTGGGACTCTCGTCTGGCGGCCAGGGATCGAACCAGCGCTGCAGAGGCTGCAGGCAGCTTCGCAACCCAGCGCTCAACCACTGCGCCACCGGGGAGGTCCAGATCTTTTTTTCTTAAAACATACCTTTCTGAAACACACAACAAACCAGGAATATAAAGAAACTATCTCATCATAATAAAGACATATATGAAAAACCCATAGCTAATTTCACGCACTGGTCAAAGACTGAAAACTTTTCCTTTAAGATAAGGATATACATTTTCACCAATATGGTATTGAAAGACCTAGTCAGAGCAACTAAGCAAGAAAAAGAAATAAAGGGCATTAAAATTGCAAAGAAAGAAGTAAATCTATCCCTGTTCAAAGACAACATTACATGTAGCAAACTCTATAAAGATTTTACAAAAACTGTTAGAATTCAGCAAAAGTTGCAGGATACAAATCAGCATACAAAAATGTTGTAATCCTATACAAGAATAATAAATTATCCAAAAATGAAATTAAGAAATCAATTCCATTTACAATAGCCTCAAAAAGAATAAAGTTCTTGGGCCTCCCCGGTGGCGCAGCGGTTGAGCGCTGGGTTGCGAAGCTGCCCGCTGCCTCTGCAGTGCCAGTTCGATCCCCGGCTGCTCCCCGGCCACCGGAGGAGGGTCCCACATGGCGCGCAGACCTCTCCTGCCGCCCGCTGCTCCCCTCAGCAGAATACTTCGGTCCTTCTGCCTGCTCTGCTCCCTGCTCTGGCTCTGGTGAATTCTCTCACCCTCCCGCGCTTCTGACTGTACCCAGTGCTTGTATAAATAAATAAATAAGTCTAAGAAAAAAAAAAGAATAAAGTTCTTAGGAATGAATTTACCAAGTATATGAAATACTTTTACACTAAAAATTACAAAATGTTGTAGGAAGAAGTTAAAGACACAAATAAATGAACAAATATTTTGTGTTCATGGACTGAAAGACTTAATATTGGTAACATGTCAATACCACCTCAAACAATCTATAGGGTCAATGTAATCTCTATCAAAACAAAACAAAACCCCAATGTCATTATTTGCAGAAATAGAAAAACCCATCCTAAAATTTGTATGGAATTTCAGGGGACCCCAAATAGTCAAAACAATCTTGAAAAGAACAATGTTGCAGGTCTCACACTTTCTAATTTCAAAACCTACTATAAGACTATGGTAATCAAAACAATACTGGCATACAGACTGAAAGATCAATGCAACAGACAGCCCAAACCCTTGTCTATATATAGTGCAATGATTTTTGATAAGGTACTAAGACCATTCAAAGTATAAAATAGTCTTTTCAATAAATGGTGCTGAGAAACTGGATAACCACATGTAAAGATCTAAACATGAAAGATAAAACTAAAAATCTCTTAGAAGAAAATATAGGATAACTTCATGATATTAGATTTGGCAATAATTTCTTGGGTATGACACCAAAAGCATAAGCAACAAGAGAAAAACAAGATAAATTGGTCTTCATCAAAATTTAAAGCTTCTATGCATCAAGTGACAAAGTGAAAAGATAGAAAACATCTTCAAATCAATGTCTGATAGGGAACTGATATTCAGCATACATAAACAGCTCCTACAACTAAACAACAACAACAAAAAATATGATTTAAAATGGGCAAAGGGCCTCCCCGGTGGCGCAAGGGCCTAAGCACAGCACTGTGAAGCTATCCTCAGCCTCTGCAGCACGAGTTTGATCCCTGGGCAACCAGGGAGTGACCCACATGATGCAGCAGATCTCTCCTGCCTCAGCCACTGCTCCCCACAGCAGTGTATTTCAGTCAGTCTGCTGTTCTGCTCCCCACTCCGTCTCTGGTGAATCCTCTAAACCCTTCCACCTCTGGCCTGTACCCCAGTTTCTTGTATGCATAAATAAATCTTTAATAAAATAAAATGGGCAAAAGGGGGACTCCCTGGCCTAGCTGTTAGGTTTCAGCACTATCACCATTACCGCCTGAGGTCCAACCCTGGCCAAGTTGCTAACTCACATATGGTGCAGCAGACCTCTTCCTGTCTCCCCCGCTGCTCCCCTCAGCAGTGTATTTTAGTAAATCCGCCTGTTCCGCTCCCCACTCTGTATCTGGTGAATCCTCTAACCCCCTCACACCCCTGGTCTATACCCCAGTACTTCTATGCATAAATTAAATAAATTAATTAAATGGGTAAAGAAATTGAGTAGGTATTTCTCCAAAAATAGATAAAAAACTAATCAGCGCAAGAGATGTTCAACGTCACTAATCACCAGGGAAATGCAAATCAAAACCATAAAGATATACCATTTCACATCCATTAGGATGGCTATTATCAAAATAACAGTAACAAGTGCTGGTGAGAATGTAGAAAATTGAAATCCTTCAGCACTGCTAGTGGGAATGTAAAGTTTCTGGGTATATACTCCATAAGAAATGAAATCATGGACTTGAACAGATATTGGTGCATCCATGTTCAAAGCAGTATTATTCATAATATATTAAACATAATATTATGTTTAACAGGTACAGTTGGGGAAGATGAAGAGAGTTCTGGAAATGGACACATTACACAACAACGTGAATGTGCTTAAAATCCGAGCTGTATACTTAAAACCAGTTTAAAAGGCAAACTTTATATTAAGTATATTAACATATACTTAAGCAAAGCAAAACAAAAATAACACCTGCTTTGCATCTTTCCTCCCTGAGTCTAGGATTTTATCTCTTCATACCCATGTAACTGCAACAAGACCTGTCATTCCTGGTTCATCCCACTTTCTCCTCATTCTACCTCAACCTATAGATCACTGACAGGCTCATCATTCTGGTTCCTCACTTTAAAGTCTGGTCTCCCAAACTTTCAAAAGCTCCTTCTATCTTGCACAAGAGGCCAAATCTTCTCAATATAATACTCAAGCCCATACAGAGACTCAAAATGTTCACTGGTATCCTTTTAGTCTCTCAAGAAAACTCAGTTTTCAGCTCATCCTAGCATTCCCCTCCCCCAAAGTTAATCTCCACATTACACTATTGCTTTTCCCTCACAAAGTAACTGCTCCAATATCTCTGTAAATCTAAACCCTCAGAGTGGGTTTAGTCTCAAGTGTTCCAGAAGGTCTTTAGATTTCTGAGGCCTCGCTCATCTTCCCCTAACCTGAACACCTAAGTATTCTTCGTATTGCTAGAACTCAGTAGAGAGTCTTCTGGGCTCATAGGATTACATCTTATCTTTCCTAAGGGCAAAGTCTATACATTACATTTCTTCTCTTTCATAGCACCTAGTATTATAATGCAAAACACAAAGCAGATCTTCAAGAATCACCCGTGTAACTGAATGCCAAGGTACATCTTTGGATTTGTGATTGTCACCCACTAGAATGAGAGCATAACTAGTTGACATCACGGTATTTCTGAAGGTTAACCTGTGACACACAACAAAACGCTGTGTGACTCAACAAGACGACACATGCAAACTAAATAGCACAGCCTGGAAAACAGGAGTCTTAAGTCTGAAAAATTACAGCCCAATACCAAGAATCGACTTAAAGGCTGGTATTTGAGGCACAGAGCAATACAGTAGTTAGTCAGATTCTGTGAGACTGGACTGACCTATGGGTTTTATTGGATGCATGCACGAATAAGCCAGGCTGTAAGGGGAGGGGGGGGGAACACAACGTAGTCACAGGACTACAAAAACTCTAAATGAAATGTCAATCAGTTTTTATTAAATTCAGGTTAGAAAAAAAATCTTCATCAATTACTTGAGGTAACTGATGGTTTGTCAGAATCAGAGAGAGGCTCTCTCTCATTTCTGCTTTCAACTTTATTGCACAAAGACCTAGAGGTGGGCATGGGTAGTGGTGGTGAAGAACGCAATCAATGAATAAGAGGCTCCGGAGTGTAGTGAAAGCGCTCCCTAAATGGGGCGCTGAGAGGCCTAGATCCTAGTTTTGGTCCAATCCCTGGCCAGCTGGAGGACCCAAGGCAAGTCACTCCTCTCCCTGGGCCTAGTTTCCCGGCTCTAAAACAAGTCACGCCAGATCTCCAAAGATTTTTCTGACTCCAAAATTCCAGGACAAGTTTAATCACAGCTACCATGAACACGTCTGGATCTTGCAAAGCAATTTCAAATCTTCTCTATTTCCGGAGGAAAGTAATTTATTTCAGCAATCTCAAAGAAATGGATGCCTTTCAGACAAAAGATGGTTTAGTCGAAAAAGCTAAGCAATTCCGTAAAAAATGCTGCTTCCTCAGAGAGCGACGCGGTCGAGCAGAGGTCTCCGGGGGAGACGACCGAGACCGCTTCGGTCCTCCGGGCCTGCTCCGGGGCACTTGGGATCTGCGCCGGCGGGAGGTGGGGGCGCGGCCGGCGGCCCGAGCGCACGCCCCGGAGCGCCTCCAGAAACGTGGCGAGAAAGTTCTCCTCAGGGATAAAGCCGGCGAACAGCCGCGCCGGCGGGGAGACTCGGAAAGACGCCCGCGTTCAGCCCTGCCCTGCTCCAGACGCGGCTCCCGGCCCGCGCCCGCGGCATTGTTCCCTCCGACCTGTCAGGCTCGATTTCGGCGCCGTCCGGAGCAGCGCACCCCGGACGTCCAACTTCGCCCCCGGGGCGGCCCGTCCGCCCGCCGGCCCCGGCCCGGCTCCGGCCGCGGCTCTCACGCCCACCCGGGGCCGCCGCGCGCCCCGCCCGCCCGCGGAGCGCACGGCCCGCCGGCCCGCCGCCGCCTCAGCCCCGCCGGACGCCCGCCCTCCCGCCGGCGGCCGGCCCGGCCCGCGCCCGCCGCCCGGCACGGCCCCCTCTGGCCGCGCGCCCCGCGCCGGCACAGCCCGGCGTCCAGCCCCTCAGACGCCGGGGACACTCACCCCCGAGGCTGCTCCCGCCGCTGGGCCCGCGGCCGTCGCCCCCGCCGCCGCCGCCGCCCGCACCGCCGCCCGCACCGGCGCCAGCGCCCCGGGCCATCCTCCTCCTCCCGCCGCCGCCGCCGCCCTCTCCACTCCTGTTAGCGGCTCAGGCTCCGGGACTGCTCCAGGTTCCCCTCGCCGCCATTTTGACTCTGAGAGCGAGCAGGAGGGGCTCGGCTCGGCGCGGCCCTAGGGCGCCTGCGCGGCGCTGCGGCGCCGACCCGAGCCCCCGCCCGTCCCGCCGTCGCCGCGCCCGCGTCACGTGGGCGGGCGGCGGCGCGCGCGCCGGGCGGGCGGGAGCGGCGCGTTCGCGGGCCCGGGCCGGGCGCGCGCGCATTATTTTTGCGCCGCGGAGTCCGGCTCGCCGCGCCGGGAGTATGAGGCGCGCAGCTCTGTCGTCCTGCTTGATCCCGGCCAGCGCGGCAGGTCGTGGACGGCATCAGTTCAGAACGGGGTTGTAACGACTGCGTTTCCAGGCGACCCCGCTGCCCATTCACGTGTGCATTCGGCCGCCGACATCCTGACGGATTCCGGAAAAGTCCTTTTTTTGTTTATTTTCAGTTTGAATTTATTTATTTATCTTTTAATGTTTTTAAATATATTTTATTTTATATAATTCTGACATCATTTTTCGGTTTTGCACAATGTATGCATTTTCATTTCGGTTATAGTCCCCCATACAATTGCACCCCCCTTATTTTGACCCTAATCCCTACTCTCCTCCTCCCCCCACCCCATAGTGTGTCTCTGGTTTATACTTGCTAGTTGATTTTGATTTTTTCTTTATTATAATTAGTCTTTTTCCTGGAAAAGTCCTTTTTGACGGTCTTGGCGTTTGGTCCTTTTTGACGGTTGGCAGTTTACCTGAAGCCGTGCCGGCCAGGTGCTCGTATAGCTGTAAGTTAAAAGAAATCTTAAGGTCACTGGCAAGTTTTGTTCGAGGAGATGCCCCATGAACGAGGGACTGGAACTGATGAGAGCAGCCATCTCAGCGTGGCAGAGCCAGTGGCACTTTCCTAGTTGCCCGTTGTCTGGAAGTTTGCAAAGATAGCAGCCATGCAATCACAAAAGCACCTATTAATGGAGGTCCTTACAACTCTCAAAACACCGTTAAAGACAGGGCTTCGTTTGAACACCTAAACCAGCCTTTGAGGTAGTCGGGACAGGTATTATTATGACGGTTTACAGCTAAGGAAATAGGCTCAGAGATACTAAGTCATTTGCCCAGGGAGGCGCTCCCAGCATTAATAAGGAGGCAAGTCGAGACTAGAACCTGGCCATTCTGACCCTGGTCACCTAGCACCATTAAACCTCAGTCTCCGATAGGCCTAGCTATAGGCCATGCATTTGTCCTCTGGGAATTTATTTGCAACCCTCTTCAAGAGTGGGTGCATATAGGGGCCTACCTCGTGGTGCAAGGGATTAAGACGCAGCATTATGAAGCAATCTGAATCACGAGTTCTATCCCCGCAGGCCAGGGAGCAACCCCCATGGCGCAGCAGACCTCTCCTGCTCCCTGCTGCTCCCCTCAGCAGTACATTTCAGTCGGTCTGCCTGTTCTGTTCCCAATCTGTCTCTGGTGAATCCTCCCACCGCCCTGCCCCCCGCACCTCTGGCCTGTACCCCAGTACTTGTATGCTTAAATAAATCTTCAAAAAAAAAAAAAAAAAAAGAATCACAAGGGAAATCCATGCAAACAAACCTGATTAAACTAACCCTTCTTTTCCCAGCCACTACTCCATGACTAACTGCCCCAGTCCAATCCCCTTTGTCTTACCACATTTTCATGATTTACTACTCTTTGTCCAACTTAGTGTATCAGTGTTTGACTCCCCGTGCTTTGGAGCTTCATTTTCCTGTGGGGAGCCCCATATACATGTAAAAATTTCTACACTTTGCTCCTGTTAACCTGTTTATGTCAGCTTAATTCTCAAGCCCAACTAGAGAAAAAAGTTTTGCCTCTCAAAACAAAAATTCAACTAAATTTAAATATGAACGTCATTCAGTTCATCAAAATATACCATAAAGAGAATGAAAATACAAACCACACAATGGGAAATGATATTTGCAATACACAAAACCAAAAAAAAAAAAAAGGCTTATATCCAGAATACAAAAAGGACTTTTATAATTTAAGAAGAGATAACCCCATAGAAGATGGGCAAACAGCCAGAACAAATGAAGAAATGCAAATGAGATAAATTAAAAGTTGTTCAACCATGTGATTGTAAAGGAAGTACAAATTAGTGTTGCCATAAGATAATACTATTCACTCATCAAATTGGTAAAAATAATTTAAAAAAGACAATTCCAAATGTTATGCATTAATAGGAGCTCTCTACGCTGCTGGTAGGAGTGAAAATAGGAAGAACTATTTGGGAAGGCAGTTTGACACTACTTAGCACACATGAAAATTGGCTTGTTCCATGACCCAGCATCCTCTACATGATGTATAGAGAAACTTATGCCCATTTGCGCCAGGAAATATGAGCAAGAATGTTCATAGAAGTTATACACATCAAAAACTGATAACATCTTAACCACGCATCAGCATGAACATGGATAAAAATTGTAGCATATTATTTAAAAAGTGGTGTATTCACGTATTAAGTGAACTTAACTATGAAAAACATGGATCAAACTCACAATAATGATGTTAAGTCAAAGAAGCATGACACCAAAATAATATACAAGGTAATTCCATGTATTATATTTCATCCTTTCTAAGATACAGATTTTAAAAAACAATTTTTAACAATGCTGAAATTTGTCCTAGAATTAGTGACCTCTAGTGTTACCGATTTGACAGGAGTGTTCATGTCTTGACTATGGCCAGAAAGATTTCAAAGCCATGACAAAGCAAAGCAAAGCAAAATTTTATTAGCAATAATACACCCAGGAGGGGTCCAAACAGGCCAAGTCCACAGGAGAACAATTATGCCAAATGGCAATTGGATTCATGGCTTAAATGGGGTCCAGTGGGCTGCTCATTCTGTCCTTTTCTGGGGTTTACTGCACAGGTGCTCCTGGGGTGTTGGTTTATGGGTCCAGGCAGGGGTTTCTAAGTTATTTCTGCTGTGTTCCAGGGGTATAGTTTTATCAGCCCTGGCAAGTTGAGGTGGGTATGTGCCCACCTTATGCCCCTAGGTGCCTCTTGCTCTCTCAGGACTTTATCAATCCTACCCTGAGTTGGGGAGAGAGATTGCCAACACCCGTCTGGGCATATTTTTCACTCTCCCTGTGCTCTGTCTCCCTGCCAGGTTTTTCCTGGCATCCTAGATATAGTTGGCCATTAATTTTCTTTAGGCATTGCTCTCCCTGCCATGTCTAACATTAGCACTGGGTCATGACTTAGTTAATAGATCTTTTCTTTCTTTCCTAGTGAGACATCAAATAGTGGTATCTTCAACTCTTTAAAATACAGGCAAAGATAAGCCATTTGGCTTATAGATCTATAAACCCTGCAGTGTATGGGAATGCAAAGATGAGTAATGTTGATACAATCTCAGGTACTTAAGATGCTGTACAACATTCTGGAGGTTTAATTGGCAAGGGTACCAGTCAATTCCTAATTCTTTGGAAGGATATGTCTCCCTCAGGAAACCTAGGGATGGAATTCATCCCAGTTTACTCAGCATTGTACTTCAAGGCACATTCTTACACGCTGTCATGATCTTCATGCATTTTTCAGCTTCCCTCTTCCTTATAATCCCTCACTTTTCCAATCAAGTGGTTTGGGTGAGCTCAGCCTCATGTTTTATACCTGATTTGATTGAGATTTTTTAGGAAATGCTATTCCACTGGCTATACATATTGGTTCAAAGAAGGCTATGTAACCCCATGAAAATCCAGGGTATGTTGAAATATTTGCTAGGACTTCTAGAATAGGAAAAAAAAAAAATCGTCCACAGAAAATTCTGGAGTTTCCCCATCTTTCAGTGAATATGAAAGAAGATGTAGCCCTAGGAGCTCTCAACAACCTTTTAACCCAAACAGAGACTGCCTTAAGTTTAAGTCAACTTGTACTTTAGTGAAACCCAGCCCCTGGGGCATTATTAGCAATGCTTAAACAAGCTTCACCTGAAACAGTCCTACCTTCTGGCCTTTCTGAGTATATGAAACAATAAATTTTATTTATTATTGTAACATGGTGGTCCCCAGGAAAAGGGGAAGTGCCAGGTTCCCTGCCACACCCAAGGGAGGGTGGAGCTGAGTAGGGAGGAGAATGAGTTGCAGAGGAGACTGGGGTAGGAAGGAAGCAGAATAGAGAGCAAGAAGGAGACCAGGAGGAGGCAAATGCAGCAGAGAGACTCAAGAAGAAGCTGCGCTTGCTTCTTGGTCCTGGACTGGTTAAAACAGTCATGGCTGAAGACACATGGGGAATTAACAATGGCAGCTTTTATCTTGATTTTGATTTTGTTCTTTTCTTCCCAGACTTGTCTGGCTGTTTCTGAGCCTTTTCTATGGGTTCCCGCTAGAAGGTGCTTTAGATTTGTGGCAGGCTTTTGGGCCTTGCTCTGGCTGGGCCAACCGTGTTTGACTGGACATTTACCCATGAGGGGATTGGTAACTTCAGGTGCTTGGTTTGGAAACTATATTCTTTGTCTTCTCTGTATTGCACACTAATTGTATTAAAGTTCCTTTCCATGAAAGGTCTAGTCTTATGCTTTGTCTTGATGCAGTGGATGGCAAAACCTATTTAGAGCGGATGGGTTTGGGAGTTCTGGGGTGCCCCTCTCCCTGCCCTGTAACATTATTAGGTTTTCCTTAACATTCACACAAGATAATCTTTATTGTAACATATACTATCTCATTTAATCTCCATATCAGCACTCTATGAGAAATACCATACTGAGTTGGTATTTTTCTAAGATTTATTTTATTTATTTATGCATTTATTTATTTATTTTATTTATTTATGCATTTATGCATTTTATTTATTTATTTATTTATGAACTGGGGTATCAGCCAGGGGTTTGGGGGAGGAGGGATGAGAGGATTCACCAGAGTAGGGAGCAGAACAGGTGGATTGACTGAAATACACTGCTGAAGGGAGCAGCGGGCAAAACAGGAGAGGTCTGCTGTGCCATGTGGGTTAGCTCCCTGGCCAGGGATCAAATTTATGCTTTGAACTCGGGCTGCAGTGGCTGCTAATAGCTTCATTGTGCTTAGACTTAACCCCTTGTGCCATCAGATAAGACCACTAGACTGACTTTGTCTGA